TCTATCAGATCTAGTCCCTTAAATCTATTTCTCACTTCCACTGTATAGTCATAAGGGATTTGATTTAGGTCATACCTGAATGGTCTAGTGGTTTTCCCTACTTTCTTCAGTGTAAGTCTGAATTTGGCAGTGATGTGAGCCACAGTCAGCTCCTGGTCTTGTTTTTGCTGACTGTATAGAGCTTCTCCATCTTTGCCTGCAAACAATATAATCAATCTTATTTCAGTGTTGACCATCTGGTGATGTCCATGTGTAGAGTCTTCTCTTGTGTTGTTGGAAGAGGGTGTTTGCTATGACCAGTGCATTCTCTTGGCAGAACTTAGCCTTTGCCCTGCTTCATTCTGTACTCCAAGGCCAAATTTGCCTGTTACTCCAGGTGTTTCCCGACTACCTACTTTTGCATTCCAGTCCCCTATAATGAAAAGGACATCTTTTTTGGGTGTTAGTTCTAAAAGGTTTTGTAGGTCTTCGTAGAACTGTTCAACTTTGGCTTCAGTGTTACTGGTTGGGGCATAGGCTTGGATTACCATGATATTGAATGGTTTGCCTTGGAAACGAACAGAGATCATTCTGTCGTTTTTGAGATTGCATCCAAGTACTGCATTTTGGACTCTCTTGTTGACCATGATGGCTACTCCACTTCTTCTAAGGGATTCCTGCCCCCAGTAGTAGATATAATGGTCATCTGAGTTAAATTTACCCATTCCAGTCCATCATAATTCACTCATTCCTAGAATGTTGACGTTCACTCTTGCCTTCTCCTGTTTGACCACTTCCAATTTGCCTTGATTCATGGACCTAACATTCCAGGTTCCTATGCAGTATTGCTTTTTTTTTTTTTGCAATATTGCTCTTTACAGCATTGGACCGTGCTTCTGTCACCAGTCACATCCACAACTGGGTATTGTTTTTGCTTTGGCTCCATCCCTTCATTCTTTCTTGGGTTATTTCTCCACTGATCTCCAGTAGCATATTGGGCACCTACCGACTTGGGGAGTTCATTTTTCAGTGTCCTATCTTTTTGCCTCTTCATAGTGTTCATGGGGTTCTCAAGGCAAGAATACTGAAGTAGTTTGCCATTCCCTTAAAGAACAGTCATATTGCTGTTAATAATGTCAAAAACTGTCATGTATTTTTAAATGTAGTCTCTCATGGTTACATGCAAAGAATCTTTTAATTAATTTTGTTAACTTCATTACAGTGTTCTACATTGTATACTTTAGAACTAATACATAAAGGCCTCAAATCCCCCAGTGTGCATTTCATTTGCCCCCATCCTTCTTAATTTTAAAGACCATCACTGGAATACTGAGTTCGTAATAACATTTCCATCTGCTTAATTGAGTAAATGCATCTCATGCAGATTAGCAGCAGCTATTTTATGCTGCCTGTTTTTCGTGGCCTAATTGCTAATCTGCCCTCAAGTCTTCTGCTTTACTGCTGAGGCTGCAGTGTCCCCTGAGGGGCTGCACCGGCGGGGCGTGGCAGTCTTGCTACAGTGGTGTTTCAGAGGGGAAGTCTGAAAAGGGTACTCTCTTTAAAATAAATATGTATCTTTCTTTTAGGAAGAAATGTGATCTATTTGAAATTTTTGAGCATTTTCTTTACTACAAATTTCTAATCAACTTTATGTTTTTGCTGTAAATAAATTGAATATGTATTGATATAAGGTTTTGTTCAGTGTTAACATTTTATACATTCTGAATTTTAATCTAAGTCAGTAGATGTGAGTTCTGAGTACTATAATGAAAACTCGTATTGTGAATGGAAAAAAAAATGAGTAATTCTATAAAGAAATTGATCGAAACTTTAAAATTTAGACAAAGAGGGGATCAACGGTAGAAGGAAAACTCAATATTTCCCTTTTTTTTCCCTCTGTACTTATATGAGTTAAGAACAAAAGCAAAATCAAGTAATCAAAATCCTTCTTTTTTAAGAGGTAGTTTTTTTTTTAATCTGAAGAAACAATTGTTCCACACATTATGTTTGTCTTCTGGCTTTGTGGTCCCCACCCCATACCCTAGTGATGGGCTCAAGTAGGGGTGCCAAGGGGACAGTAAGAACATGGTAGACAGAATTTGCCTCTTTAGGGTGGCAGGACGGGAAAACATTCACCTTCCTTAAGGTAATGGAAGACAGATTTCTATAGAAAACTCAGGCTCATGAGGAAAGGAGATGCTAGTGCTGATTTTTAAGTTGATTCAGGGACTGGTGGAGAAGAGGACAAAGGAGATAGGGCAGATGTAATTCCAACGGGTTAGAACATTTTTCCTTTGATGATATAGGATGCTTATGGATGGGAGAGTCCTCTCTGAGATAACTTATGAAAAGGTAATATAACAAGTCACTAACTCCAGTACATTTGGAAACATAACCAAGTAAAAACTCTGTACCTTATATAATATTCTGTTGTATGTGTATACCATATTTTGTTTATTCATTCATTTGTCATTAAACACTTGGGTTTCTTCTAATTTTTAGCTATTGTGACTAATTCTGCTGTGAACTTGGGTGAACAAACATCTCTTTGAGCCCCTGGTTTCAGTTCTTTTGGATGTATTTCCAGAAGTGGAATTGCTGGATCATATGACAATTCTATCTTTACTTTTTTTAGGAACTGCTATACTATCTTCCATTGCACCGTACAATTTTACATTCTTACCCACAGTGTACAAAGTTTCAATTTCTCTGTATCCTTGCCAGTGGTTTTTATTTTCTGGTGTGTGTGTGTGTGTGTGTGTGTGTGTGTGTGTGTGTTTCTTGTAGCCATTTATTTTCTGGTTGGTGTGTGTGTGTGTTTCTTGTAGCCATCCTAATGACTATTCAAGTCCTGTACCCAATTTTGAATCAGATTGTTTGTTGAGTTTTAGGAGTTTTTTGTATATTCAGTATATAATCCCTTATCAGATATATGATTTACAAATATTTCCTCTCATTATATGGGTTGCTTTTTACTCTATTGATATCTTTTGATGCACAAAATTTTAAAATTTTCATGAAGTCTAATTTGTCTATTTTCTTTCATTGCCTATGCCTTCAGTGTCATATCAGAGAAATCAGAGTTTTAGATCTTACACTTAGGTCATTGATCCATTTTGAGTTATATTTTTATACCTTTAAATTAGCCTTATATGTCATTTAAGTTACTAATTTCCTCTTATGGTATCAGGGTTTTTTTAAAGTCACCATTTGAAAAGCTTGGATATACACAGGTACTGATGCAGTGTAGGATAAAATATGGTACTCAATACCATGTAATTTCTAGATATGGTAACAACCTTTTAAAGTAGAACTGTTCCCATAACACTGTGTTCTTAATACACATTTTTTTGGCCATTTTTTTCTATTAGGCTGCTTATCATGTCAGGTTATAAGATCTCTTTATGTATTCTATATATTCATATCTTCTGTTTGTACTCTGAATTGCAGATTATCTTTCCAAATCTGTTATTTCTCTCTTGATTTGTTTATTCTGTCTTTCATCTTTGTAGCATCTGGGTTTTCAGTCTTAGTTAAGATTTCTGCTTCCTTTAAATAGTATAGTTAGTATTTTAGGCTTCTTTTTCAATATTTTTATTGTCTTGGTTTTTAAATTTAAGTCTCTTATGCAACTGTGATTTATTTTTGGTATCCATTGTAAGGTTCTGTCCACTTTTCTTTCAAATGGATAGTTATTTGTGCCAGCAACATTTATTAAATCCTTCTTCCACTGAATTGAAATATTTATGAATTCTCTGATCTGTTCTAGGAATTTGTCTCTTCGTATGCCAACATCATATTAATTTTATTATGTTGGTATTACAGTGCATGTAAACACATATACATATACATACACAGAGGATGAAGAAGATATGGTTCTAAGGATGGATGAGTTTGACAGTAGTGATTAAGAGTAGAGTGACTTCTCAGTGTCAACACTAATCAACAAGGGATTTAATGGAGAGGCCTGTTGATAAACTGATAATCATCTATTGATAACTACCCTGGATGCTGCCAGATTACATTTTGCATTTGTAAAATATTGAAAAGATGAATGTATATCTTGAAGAGCTAGTTTTCTGCCAAGTAATGTGTTAGGGGATATACAATTTTCCTCACATCAACTTTATGAGGTTAGATTTAACTCCCTTTTACAGAATGAAAATGGACACTTGTTCTAAGGGTTAAGTTACTTGCCCTGTATTATGCAACTCTTAGGTAGTAAAGGTAGGATTAAAACACTAATGCCCAGGCTCTTGTCACTATGGCTAAATGAAGTGTTTCATGAACAATACTTCTAAAACTAAAGATACACACAAATTGATATGGGGATTATGTAATAATCATCTGTCATCAACATCTATGTGTTTTATTTTAAAAACAATGCCATGGATAATGCACAATAAAACTTAAAGCTGATATAAGTAAAGTAATTCTATTTTTATAAAAGAACAATATATATTATATGTTCTTTCAAGATAAGGTCTATGAATAAAATTTTAGTTCTTTTTATTATTTTTTTAATTGGTGCTTTTAAACTTTTTTTAGAACAGAAGAAAGTTAAAATAAAAAAACCAAAACCTGAATTTCCTGTATATACGCCTTTAGAAAGTACATATATTCAATCTTATGATCATGGAACTTCTATAGAAGAAATTGAGGAACAAATGGATGACTGGTTAGAAAACAGGAACAGAACACAGAAAAAACAGGTAAATTCAAAATATATATATATTTATTTGTCTGTGTCGGGTCCTAGTTGCGGCTTGTGGGATCTTTAGTCACGGCATGAGAACTCTTAAGTCGTGGCATGTGGGGTCTAGTTCCTTGACCATGGATCCAATCCATGCCATCTGCTTTGGGAGCATGAAGTCTGAGCCACTGGATCACCAGGGAGTTCCAAAAACAGGTAAGTTTTTTGAATTTTGCTTTAATTGAGTAAAATACATGCTAAAAAGTACATAAAATATATTAATAGATATAGAACTCAATAAACTATCTCATGGCAAACCAAGTTAAAACCTTTGTACACTAGTGTATTTAATTGCAGGGTCAACAAGTAAATAATTCTTATTTATATATATATATATATATATATATGTATGTATTTTAACATATCATTTTCTGTATCAATTTCTAGCTCAGCAGCAGGATTATAAACTTTAGTTACTTTGCATTCTTGCCAACACTGGGTCAAGTCCACCACAGTACATGTAGTTAACATCCATTACCATACATGTTTACAAAATTTTTTTTGTAAACTTTTAAGATTTACTTTCCTAGCAACTTTCAGGTATGCAATACACTATTATTAAGTATAGTCACTGTGCTATTGCATCCCTATGACTTACTTATTTATACCCTTTCATCCATTTCATCTGCTCCTCACTGCCACAGCCCCACCTCTTTTAAAAACCAGTCTGTTCTCATTTTCTTAAGCTTATTATTTTGGGGGGGATTTGTTTGTTTTGTTAAGATTCTTCTAGAAAAGTGAGATCATCTGGTATTTGTCTTTCTCTATGATTTATTTTACTTGGTACAGTGCTGTTAAGGTCCATCCATGTTGTCACAAATGGCAAGATTTCCTTATTTTTGTGGCTGAATAATATTCCTGTGTGTATCTGTGTATGTGTGTGTCACATTTTCTGTATCCATTCAGCCATCAGTGGACACTTAAGTTCTTTCCATGTCTTGGCTATTGTAAATAGTCTACAACAAACATTGAGGTGTGTATGTCTTTTCAGATTAGTGTTTTCATTTTCTTCAGATAAATACCCAGAAGTGGAACTTCTAGATCATTTGGTAGTTCTATTTTTAATTTTTGGAGGAAACTCTATACTGTTTTCCAGATTGATTGGACCAATATACATTTCCACCAACAGTGCACAAGCTTTCCCTTTTCTTTACATCCCTGCCAACACTTGTTATTTCTTGTACTTTTGATAATAGCCATTCTAACTAGTGAGAGATGATATCTTGTCATGGTTTTGATTTGTATTTCCTATTGATTAGTGATGTTGAGCATCTTTTCATGAGTTGAGTATGATAGTAGCTTTGGGCTTGTCACACATGGCCTTTATTGTGTTTCGGTGCATTCCCTCTACACACAACTTTGTTGAGAGTTTTTACCATAAATGAAAGTTTTTGTCCAGTTCTATCAAATACATCTATTCAGATGATCTTACGCTTAATCATCATACATTTGTGACGTTTGTTTTCTTCTTGTAATTGATTTCTAATGTCAGCACCAATGTAGTAGGAAATGAATATGATTTGATTTCAGTCTTAAATAAATTTAAGAGCTGTCTTGTGGGCTAACATATGATCTGTTGTGGAGATTCATGTGTACGTGAGAAGAATGTGTATCTGCTACTTTTTGATGGAATGTCCTATCTATGTTTATTAATTCAGTCTGGTCTAACGTGTCATAAAGGCTAATGTTTCTTTATTTATTTTCTGTCTGGATGATCTACCCATTGATACAAATAGGGTATTAATGTTTCCCATTATGACTGTATTGCATTGCTTTCTGCTTATCCCTTTATTCTTTTAATATTTACTTTATAGATTTAGGTGCTCAGATTGACTTTTTTTTTTAATTCATAATATGCCCTTAAAATCCCTCCAAATTCATAATGTGTTCTTAAAAATCCCTCCAAGTGTTTGAGTGTATCAGTAGTTTTTCTTTTTATCACTGAATAATAATCCATTATATTGAATAATAATCCAGGACAGGGCAGACTGGCTTGCTGCAGTCTATGGGGTCACAAAGAGTTGGACACAGCTGAGCGACTGGACTGAACTGACTGAATTGAATAATCCATAATGGGTTAGTTTGCATGATCTAACATATTATTTCTATAGGAACATTGAGTACATACTCTATTTTGAGATTTATCCATGTTCATGTTTCTGTAGTTTTCTCTTTTTAGTGCTGAGTAATATTCTAGTGTACGGGTACACTACAGTTTTTAAAATTTATTTATTAGTTGATGGAAATTTTATTTCTGGCCATTATAAGTAAGTCTTCTGTGAAGATTTATTGTCTACGTGTTTGTGTGGACTTATGCCTTCATTTCCCTTGGGTAAATGCTATGTAGGAAAATGAAGTTACCAAACTGTGTTCCAGGGTGGTGGTAAATTTTACATTCCCACTAGCAGTGTGTAAGTGTTGCAGTTGCTCCACATTTTGGCCAACCTTTGGTGTCAGTGCTGTTTTAATTTTAGCCATTCTAGTTGATGTGTTGGCGAAGGAAATGGCAACCCACTCCAGTGTTCTTGCCTGGAGAAATCCCAGGGACAGGGGAGTCTGCTGGGCTGCTGTCTATGGGGTCGCAGAGTCAGACACGACTGAAGTGACTTAGCAGCAGCAGATGTGTAGGACTATCTCCTTGTGATTCTAATTTTCAATTCTCTAATGGTTAATAATGCTGGACATCTTTTTATCTGTTTATTTGCCATTAGAATATCTTCTTCTATGAAGTCTCTCTTCAAATCCACAGCCCATGATTGTTTTATTATTGAGTTTAAAGTTCTCTCTGTATATATAAAACACCTTTATCACCTGTGTATTTTCAGATATCTTCTTGTTTATAAGTTGCTTTTTATTTTAGTAATAGTGTCTTTTGAAGAGCAAAAGTCTTAAATTCAGATGTTCAGTTTATTAAATGTTTTCCTTTGTACTAGTTTCTTTTAATGTCCTAGTTAAGAAGTCTTTAGAGCTTCCCTGCTGGCTCAGTCAGTAAAGAACCAGCCTATAATGCAGGAGACTGCCTGCAATGTAGGAGACGCAGGTTCAGTCCTGGGTCATGAAGATCCCCTGAAGAAGGAAATCGCAGCCCACTCCAGTGTTCTTGCCTGAGAAATCCCATGGACAGAAGAGAAAGGCCTGGCAGGCTACAATCCATGGAGTCACAAAAGAGTCGGACATGACTTAGCGACTGAACAACAACAACAAAAAATAAGAAATCTTTACCAAACCCAAAGTTAGGGATTCTTCCATGTTCCCATTTAAAAGTTTCACTATTTTAGCTCTTACATTTAGGTCTGTGAGATTTGAAGTTAATTTCTGCATATAGTGTGAGGTGAGCATTCAGGTGTGTGTGTATATATATATATACACACAGACACATATATTTCTGTTTTACTGTTTAGCTACCCAGTCTTCCAGCCCTATTTGTTTAAAAGATTATCCTTTTTGAATTAAGTTGCCATGGGGCCTTTGTTGAAAATATTATAATTGGCCATATATGTGTTGGTTTATTACTGGGCTCTCTATTCTGTTCTGTTAATCTGTATATCTGTGTTTACACCAGTACAATTTGTATTGACAAGCTATGTAATAAGCCTTGAAATCAGATAGTAGAAATCCTCCAACTGTTTTCTTCTTTTCAAGATTGTATTGACTATTCTAGTTATTTGCATTTCTTTATAATAAATTTAGATTCAAGTTGTCAACTTGTACAAAAGATTCTGTTGGAATTTTTATTGCATTTAAATTGATCTATAGATAAATTTGGGGAGAATCTGACATCATAAAAATATTAAGTCTTTTGATCCACATGATATATATCTCTTATCTGCATCTTCTTTAACTTCTCTTAGGAACATATTTGGTCAAATTTATCCCTAAATATTTCATATTTTATACTATTCCAAATTATATTTTTTATTTCAGTTTCTGATGTGAGTATATGGAAATACTATTAATTTTTGTATATTAACCTTTTATCCTGTAACTTTGCTACACTTAATTATTAGTCATAGTAGCTTTCATGAGGGATAGGTCTATAATTTTGTTACATTTTAATATTTTTGTGTGCTTTTCATATCAGGTGATAGTGGCTTCATAGAATGCATTGGGAAATGTTCCTTTTTTCTACAAGTGTTTGTGTGGCATTGTGGTTTTTTTCTTTAGGTAGCTTTGGCAGTTTGTGTCTTTGAAGGGGTTTGATTATTTCACCTAAGTTGTTGAATAAACTGGCATAAGTTTTTTATAATATTCCTTTATTATCATTCTAATATCTGTAGTGATATCTTTAGTTTATCATATTGGTCATTTGTGTCTTCTCTTTTATTTTTGGCCACGGTCTCTAGAAGTACATCCATTTTACTGATTATTCTTTAGAAATCAACTTTCGGTTTCATTGATTTTCTGCTATTAATTTTTTCTTCTACTTATTTGAGGTTTAATTTACTCTTTTTCTAGTTTCTTAAGGTGGATGCTAGGTCATTGATTGGAGAACTTCCTTCTTAGTATTAATAGTAGAAGTTTTCTTTGAATACTGGATTATTTAAATGTAGGCCTTTTTAGTTTGTATTTTTTATATATTTATATATTTGTAGTTTAGCTGTATCCCACAAATTTTGATAGCATGTATTCATTTCATTCAATTCAAAATAGTCTAATTTTCCTTGTGAATTCCTCTTTGACTCATGTTTATTTTCCTAAAAGATAGGTGTTTTTCAGATATCTTTCTGTTACTGCCTTCAGTTTATATAAATTTTTTTAATTAAGTTTAAAGTTTTAGAAGTTTGGAATGTTCATTTAATTCATTTACATTTAGTATAATTATAATTACTAATACTTTGGGATTCAAACTGATCATCTTCGGGTTTGCTTTCTACTTGTCCCTCTTTATCTCTTTCCTCTCTTGCTTTCTTTTGGGTTAATTTTTAATTTCCATTTCTCTTTTCTGTAGGCTTGGTGTCA